TCTGGACAGTGATACTGTTTGCACTTTAGGCTAAGTCGTGGAGCATAGAACCTAGCACTGATAGTTTCATAGAGTCGAGTGCTGCCACAGTGACCCAATAGTAGATGATACCATCTGAGGGTGTTGTCTACTAGTCCATCGGGCAGGTAGATCTTCCAATCATTGTTGTCCTTGATTGATACTGTGACTAAATCAAAGGTTCCTATCCTCCTTTTGACATATCTTTGATCCGTTTCAAGAAGGTGTTGGCACTGAGGATCCGTGAGCTGATAAGTGTAGAGGCTTGCATTTGTAATTGGATTCTCCATTTCTGAAACCGGTGGTAAATTGAGCAAGCACTCGTATAGGTCTGGTTCCAAATAGAATACATCTTCTGGATCCACTTCAGCTGCCAATTCCTTGAAATTCACCATAATTCCTTTTTTCTTTTCATAAATTTTCTTTTCTTTATCCCCCACTGTGCACGGATCCATTCTGGGCACACGAGAGAAACAATCGGCAAGGACATTGTGCTTGCCTTGGATATACTTCCAGGTGATATCAAAGCCTTCAAGGCTTAGTTTCCATCTGAGGACCCGGGAGTGAGACAGGGTCCGGAAGATGAGATTCTTGTGGTCAGTGTAGATGATGATTTTGCCACCGTAGAGCATGTTTCGGTACTCCTTGAGGCACAGGATGATGGCTAGAAGCTCTTTTTCCATTGTGGTGTAATTCCTTTGAGTCTTGTTGAGCTTTTTAGACCAGTATGCAATTGGTCATTCCTGTTGAAGGATGGCCGCTCCTAGCTGATAATCAGACGCATCAGTGTAAATATGGAAGGGCTCGTTCAAATCAGCAAAGGTGTTGATAGCATCATGGGCGAGAAGGGCCTTCATCTCTTGAAAGGCTTGGTTACATTCAGGGGTCCATACATAGGGTCCTGAGCCAGTGAGTGCAGTCAGAGGGGCCAATACATGTGATCGGCGCGGCCACATGGATTTGTAATAGTTCACTGCACCCAAGAAGGACCGGACTTGTGATTGGTTCTKGGGGATTCCCATCTTGAGGATCCCGTCTATCTTCTTTTGCCATGGCTTGACTCCAGTAGGCGTGAGCCAAAAGCCAAGGAAATCAGATTC